TTATTCACAAGTTAAAGGACCAGGCATTTTTGCATGCTATTTCTGCTCATCATTTTCCATGTCACAAATTCGACTGAAATCTGTGGTATAAAGTAATAACTCTAAGCAAGTCACAGCCACAGCATGGAAGTTCATTTGTATACAGGCACCATTTTGAAAACTGGCCTTGTCATTGTAATTGATCTGACCTCTGCTCAGGTTGAAGTTGGGGGACGCAATGCTGGGAATTACGTGAAGTCACCAAAATTCATATATTAAAACACGTGGGGGCGGACCAAGGGCGTTTAGGTGTTAACTAAACTGGATTACCTGTCTCAAGAAAATGTCTGCCAGTTGGTTTTTATATCCTAAATCAGTCTCGATTGAGAGGTACAATGTCCTGATCACGGAAAGTGGCCAAATAAGTAGAAAGAATAAGAAAGTTTATTGTCAAATTAGTGTTGCTAGAAGCGATTCCACTGAAATATATTCATTTCGCAGAAACATTTTGTTTAAAATTCTGATTTAATCACATTTCTTGAACAGCTGATTGAGGTCATATGTGTTCTGTTGTACTTGTAGCCATAACCAGCTGTGCTGCAAAGATTATAGAGAAAACATGTAGTTATCACTCGAAGCAAGCACAAGCAATATTATTGCCTTAAATCCACATGATTAGTGGTAAACCAGCTAAAACACAAAAAAACAACCAGCATGGTGTTTTCTTATACCCTGGAACAGACTGTTAACACTTTCCTAAAATGAGCCTTCATCTTCTGGGGGTGACTGATATGAAAAACTTTGGGAACTTGTGATCTCTGACTTGCATCTCAAAGGCTGAAAGGGTCGTGGTTGACAGAGACGAGCGCTTCCTTGGTGCCAAGTGAGATGACCTTGCTCTTCACCGTACAAAACAGACAGAATACAAATCACAGCCTAGATGGGAGCAGATGGCATGTGAGTTTCTCCTCAGTGCGCACAGAGAGAGAGAGACGTGAGATAATAGCCCACAGCTAATCCACTGCACACTGAAAACTCATTACTCCTCCAGAAGAAAACGTAAAAAAAAACCTTGCTCCCCAAGACGGAAAGAAATACTCTGCTTAAGGTGAAGACCTTGGCACAAACTGCCTGCTTTTCCTCATGTGTGAAATTCCTTTTATGCACAGTTCAGTGGATTTGAGTCGTCGTCTTTGTTGACGAGGCGCTTTGTACGAGCCCGGCGGTGGGGACCCGCAGCTCCCCAGGACACCCACTAACACACCCACCAACAGTGAACCACACACACAAACACACAGCTACTGTACCCGATACAAACAAACAGAACACAGCAACAGAGACCAGCAGCCTGAAAGCAACATGGCTGTGTGTTTGTAAGTTTTAACTCCTTAACTACAAATCATGTATACATGTTTTGACCATTTTTGATTAAAGGCTATATCATTTTATAGTTTCTGGTAATTATTTGTTTCCATTCATTTCTGTATGAGATCAAAATCTATTAGCAGACTCTGGAAACTTGCTATTGTTATGTAATCAATGACAGCGTATATTGAGTCTGCAAAAGAGTTTGTCAAAGGCACATTACGGAGTTTAACATTACAGACTTGAATGAACAGGACTTGAAAAAACACAAAGGGAGAAGAGGAGCGATCAGGCCTATCTTGTCCTGTGAATGTAAACATTGGGAAATGTAAGAAGGCAAACACTGCAGCAGCATCATTGTGGTATCACTGAGATAATGAGAAACACCTGCCCACCTGACAACATGACACGCTCTGTCAGCCTCATCCAAAAAATATTACCATATAATACGTTTACAAGTTGGGTAGGTTTACACCAGAAGTCCCACCTTAAACAACACTTTTCATAGAATACCACCAGCATGACACCAGTGACCACATTTTACATCAAGCATCCGCAATCAGGAGGAGAGTTTTAATGCCAGAGGGGTTTTGTGTCTGCATTTGACTACAACAAAACCACACAAAGAAGATGGAGCTTCGCATTCAGCAGCTGGTTAATGGAGTGGAGCCGTTTCCGCCTCATCTTTTCAATCTCTACCTGCTGCACTGTACTGATTTGCTGTGACGTAACCTCAGACCCACCATCACCTCCAGAGACGGACCAGCCCGGAGGAAACAGTGACGACTGCATGTGCATGCTACATTAAGCCACGTAATGGAGAACAGACAGTCAAACAGTACGTGTGTATGGGTAGATTGGTAACATGCGATGAGATGAAACTCCTCCAATCTCTTTCCATAACCATTTTTAATACTCCATTATCAGATGTTTGACGCTACAGTGCTGAATGGAAATGTCAGCTTTTACTTGTTTAAACATAGCCTGTTATATTAGGACTATAATTATAGCTTGCATTGTTTGTGTTGTTGAACATTGTTGATGCTAAAAATCTCCATTTGCTTTACAGGTTACATTATTCTAAAAATCATCTTACTGATATGTATTTTCTCTTGTCTTTATTTTCACATTTGTTGTTGATGTAATCCAAAAGTAACATAAAGTAATAAAGTTACATTACTTTAATATTGTGATACTTGGATTAGGTTACAGACTCAATTTAGTACAGGTAATTAGTAATTTATCAGATTAGTTATCAGCTGTAATAATGTTTAACTTTAATTGCTGTTTATTTAGTATTATGTATACTTTTTCTTATGGAGAAATACTCTTACTTTGAAACACAGTTTTCAGGAGATTCACTATAAATCTTAGATGGTTGAGGACCATAGAGATTATTTCAGTACAGATAGAGTCTGATCATCTCCTGAGGACACGATCAGCAGCAGACTAGGGTTTGATTTCCACTCTATGAGCCCACTCCGGACAAACCACCAAGCAGCGTCTCTTTTGCGTGAAAACCATTTAGGACCTTTCACCTTCCACCGCACCATCTGCATATTCATACATGATAACAAGTTCATATTCCTTCAAAATTCATTACTCTGCTATGATAATCTCATGTCCGGGGAGTTGTTGCAGCAGAAGCAATTAGAAAATCATTCATGCCTGCATGCATGGGCGAAATTATTGAAGATTAGATTCTGCCTTGATTATCTTTTTTCCCCTTCAGGTGGAAAATGTGTGCTCAGCATGTCGAGATAAGAGTCACTGCAGCGTCCAGTCAAGAGGCGCCACAGCCTGAGCAAAGACCTGTTTTAAGCAGGTGGCACTCGCTGAAACATGAAATCCCCTTTTGGCCACAACTGTTCAAGTCTACGTTAAAAATCAGCAGCCTGTTACAGTAAGCTTTACTCAGTGTGCCCCAGGGGCCAGCTGCGCCATGTGTGCAGCGGGCCAGCAGCAGATGTGCAGGAAAAAATGCAAAAACACCAGCAAAGCGCGCACAGGAAAGGCAGACCAAAAAATAAATAAATGAATTGACTGCCTCCGCTGCAGCTGTCTGACATTGAGGAGAATAATGATGTGTGAATTTGCGCATCAAGAAGCGCAACTCGGAAAGCAGTAAATATCAAAAAAGTGAGACAGAAGTTTGGAGGACAATAAAAAGCAGAAACAGCATCGGACTCACACACACGCACATGGATTCACTCTCTCTGGCAGTGAGGGAAAAAAGCTCGATCTTACCTCCCAACGCTTGTTTCATAACGAAATTCATGATGATGGCTTTTAATTCCCTGCCTTCCTTATCCGAGCGATGTTACATTCACTTGAGCCGGAAAAGTAGAAGTCCTTTGTGGCCAGATCTGGAAAAGAAAATGACAGAAAACGGCATGTGTCTAGAAGAATATCAATAATCCTAAATTGAATAATCCTAAAATGCATCAATAAGACAGCAAAAGAAAGAAACACACAATACAGGGAGACTGATCCTGAATGTAAATGTCTCTGTGTAGGATGAGGAGGTCACTATAAACTCACTTTACTACAGACACGCTCCCTATTCAACGTTTACTAGACAAACATTAAACCATCAGTGCTGTGAATGACATTGAGCTCCAGTTACAGTTTGCACGGACTCACACATAAGCTTATAAAATCTGTGTTTTTGTGTTAGGCACGTTCATCCAATGCGCCAACTGAAGGACACCAAGGTCAATGGTTCAAACCCAATCCGAACACAGCGGAGAACAACAGAGCAGCGCCGAACACCTCACACCTACGGACCAAATCAGCAGCTACGGCTCATCCCTCCCTCCTTATAATGTGCCGCTTTTTACCCAAGAATCCGCGAGTGTGTAGTGTCAGATGGGAGCCGGTGTCACGACAGTCAGTAATAACCTCTACGTGTCCGAGCTCCGCCCGCAGATGAGTGACTTTTGAGAAAGTGCACGGTGCAAGTGCTCTGCCTGGTTAGGACGGGCTGCTGTCGTGCATGTGGACGCCGGACTAAACCACCGCTGCTGTGTATTGTTCCTGATCATGTGGTAAAACTTTCCATCCTCCATTGGAGGGGACATTGGACACAGCCATCCCACTCCAAAAAAAAAAAAAAAAAGCTGTGCGTGAACTAAGCAACAACGCGGGCTCACGCGTGCGTATTTACAGATAGAAACGCGGTGAGCGCGCGGTAAATATGTGCAAAATCGACCTGGCTGTGCATTCGCGTGCAGACAGAGAGGCAGGGGTGGTGTAGAAGCGGGTACTGCACATGCACTTCCTTGTTTGAGCGGCGCCCTGCTTCAGCACCACCGCGAGTGGATAGCTCCCCAGACCGCGGGAGTGCGCTGAGGCGGCCGCGCCAAGCTTCGATTTACCTCCGTCCGGCGACTGGCTGAAATCCTCCTCACACACTCACACACCGAAACAGGGATCAGAGCTTCAGCTGCAGCACCCTCCAAGTTATCCTGCAGCACGCAACAGCAGCACAGGCTAATCTAACTGCTCGTCCCTTGCATCTCCGGCTCCCGGGGCTGGAAAAAGGACGTCCTTGGTGGTGCCTCCTCCTGCCTGTCGCTTCGTCTTCCTGCACACACACACGCACACACACACACACACACACACACACACACACACACACACACACACACACACACACTCTCTCTCTCTCTCTCTCTCTCTCTCTCTCTCTCTCTCTCTCTCTCTCTCTCTCTCTCTCTCTCTCTCTCTCTCTCACACACACACACACGTAGAGAGAAAGAGGAGGAGTAGAGGAGGGGTAGTGGTGGTGGGTTGGAGGGTTTGCCGTTCACACAGTGATGGGGATGGAGCGACTGAAACACATGGAGGGATGGAGGGAGAAACGTCCCGCTAACGTCCTCCTGACCGATAGAGAGAGATCAATTATTCAGCCTTGACGCTGTCTGGCTGCTCCGTCCTACAGCCCGCCTCCCCCCCTTCATCTGCAACTGGAGAGAGGGATTTGGCGTTCACTTAAAACGGTAGTTCAGAATGTAACGGGGATATGATGGGGAAATATGTAGTGGCTGGATGTGTCTTTGTTTGCCTGTGCTGTCTTCTTTAATGTGCCACACATTTGGTTTGCATTCAGGAGGTGCGATGTGGAAAATCACAAAATGTTCCTGTGGGGTTCTTCTCATGTTGCTACAGGGAGGGTCTACTCCTCCCTACACCGTATTGCTCTTTGTTATATTTGATTTAAATAATGATGATAATATTCTTCTACACATCAGGACATGCCAGTGGTGTGCACAGACTGAGAGGGGCAGGGGCAAATTGAAAAAAGAGGCACCTCCCCCTGCTTGGGTTCATTTTTGCCCACATTAGAGAGGCCGCTGGATGCTCTGGTACCCTTCTGATGTGACCTGACAGTGAAACATGGCCAAGATGGCATCTGAGCATGCCACTGAGGGTTAATTCTATCAGCCCAAATAATATTTAACAAGATAGCCACAACCCTTATACATGTGACAATAAAGCAATGACAAAAATGTGTTTCACGTAAAAAGGTGAAAGACTTTAGCACCGGACAGCACCCATGCACCCACAATTATTAACAACACAATACATAAACTGCAACAACAACAAGTTCATTTATGGGATTGGGGACATAATGGCTAGTTATTTACCTTTTCATATTGTAGGAGAATTCCATTATGACCTCTCCTGTTTGGAGTACCTGGGGTTACACAGATTTGTGACACAGCTATAGCGCCCCCTAGCACCGTGCCTTACCTCCTTGTTTTGTTTCAGGGTGGGCTGTTGTTTTTGTGTGTGTTTTTTAAATGCAGTTCAATTACAGGTGATGCTTTGACTTGGCTTGCGGTGCAATTTAGACCCAACTGTCTGCATATAGGCTAATACCAAATTATGATCTTTCAGTAGGCTACGTGTAGATTTGATGTGTAAAATTCCTGCATTAAAATATCTACTAGACCAATGTGAAATATTTAAATATAAGTTGGGTACTAACATTATCTCAAATGTTTCCAACAATGTTAAAACCCAGAGAAATTAAAGATTTTAGTCATCGGGCATTTGGATCTGAAGTTATCAGAGAAACAAGCTGAGCTAACGTTAGCAGCATCTCTGCAGGAAGGCCCTCAGGGACGTCCTTTGTCTGCCGAACAGTGTCGGAAAAACACTGATTTTTAAGGTGAAACTTCTTTATTCAGTGTTTTTACTGGTTTTAATAACCATGTCCATTTGTTTCGGATAGAAAGAGACCTCTGCAGATATTTCGGCTCCTGGTCAAAACCTCCAGAACATCTGGATTTTAAGTAATCAGGAAAACAAGCCGAGCTGACGTTAGCGTCAGCTCCAGAATGTCTGCCAAACAGCATTTTATTTTTAATCAGCGGGTCCATTTGTTTTGGAGAGGAAGAGACCTCTGCGGATAATTTGGATCCTGTTACAAACCTCCTGAACAATGAACTGAAAGAATCCTAACTGGGAGAAGCTGACTGCATTGACAGAAATAGTGGTGAAGACAACAACCCCCATGATCCCACGCTACTTTACGACATCACCAAACTTTGTCTTGTTATTTTGTGGATGTGAGAGACCCCCTAGAAGCAGGAATTACATATTGTATGTTTAATTGCACATCTGTTGCTGGATTGCTGTAACATTCCTACAATGTGTCCCATTGGTCTTACACTGCTCAACAGTGGCAGTATATCACTATATATTACTACAGTCTAACAGTCCTTTAAGGACTTAGCAAATGAGCCTGATTTCATGGGAAAGTTGTATTTACACATGCAAAATATTCAAACAGGGAGGTTTACTCATTATATAAAGTCAAACTCTTAAAAGCATAATCTAAGCATATTCTATAGCTTAGAGTTTTAAGGGGTTCTCCACTGATTTGACACATGAAGACCAGTTTACTTTTCACAGGGAGAACTACACAGCCTGTGAAACAGTGTAATATCTTCTGTGGGTCTTTAGAGTGTCTGAGAAGCTGACTCATCTTGGGCTTGGAGACTGCAATTTCCTAACCGAAAGCCTGCAGCACAAACCGCCGCAAGGAGTTTAAAAGATGTGGGCATTTACCAGTCTGGGGAAGTGTTACAAAAACATGCTATTGAGTTGCAATATAGGAAATATTCAGCAGTTTTTGGAGCTTGACCCATACTGGAGGCTAAAATCTAAAGTCTGAGTTGCATCAATTTTGACCATTCTTTTACTAAATTGCTGAAGAAGCAATGGCGGTGATTTATTATTTTATAAACAAATAAAAATGACAAAAGTGTTGTTGATCGTCACCATACAATAGGTCCCCAGCAAAAGGAGGAATATAACTTTTATCACATTTGTTGGATGTTGGAACAAAGGGAAGACACAGGGTTGGCCATTTTGAGTTTGATCAGTGATTGACATTGAAAACTTTATCTTAAAACCTTAAAGATAAAGAAAAAATAGTCCTTAAGATTCCTTAAGACAAAACCCTCTCAAATTGGGGGTCTGTGGTCTAATGTGCATCTATTGTGGGCTCCTTGACATTAAAAAGTTTGGGAACCTCTGTCTTTTTCTACCGTCTAACAACCGTGTGGCGTCATGTTTTCAGTTTTAATGGTGAATGTGCAGGATGGATCAATGATTTAAAGATTGGAAGCGATAGAAAATACAAGTTTAAAAGAATATCGAGGGTTCCCTTCTTACAACATTTGACAGGTATGAATTGAAAATCACATGATTTAAGGGGAACTCAGCAATGTTCCTGCTCTGTCTGAGCAGTTTAGTAAATTGTTATTGTTGCACTGGTGTGTTATGCTTGCTTTGAATGTGTAGCCTTCATTCACTGTGCAAACAACATGGCTGATACTGCTTCTCTTTCTACTAGGGGTTGGGTGGGGGTCTTTCATTTGAGTTCTGTTTAGTAGAATTCAGTTTAGTTCCACAGCTTGATAGGGAAATAATGAGCCTCCACTGACGTGTGAACCGTTTACGACTTGAATTTATTTATTCAAATTGAGCTTTTGAATGCCTGAATCACTGGCGACACCAAGGTCAGATGCATATTTTATTTTTTCCTTTCCTTAGTCCATTTCAAATGCATTCATTTTTTGGTTTGCAGTTATTATACCACCAAGTCATGCTTAGCTCAAACACAAACAGCCGTCCATGAAATTGGTGCAAGCTGTACTCTGTGCAGCTGATTTAACATGATGACTTAAAGTGGCTTCCTTGAGCTCCACCGGCTCTACACTGAAATGGGCCCCGGCACCCTCAAATGTCATTCTCCGCTCTTAAATCCTGCTCCAGATTTGAGAGCTTGCAGAGACAGATCCATACATACTATATGACACTGTCACATATCCCACACATATATTCTGTATCTCCTTGTTTCACCACTAACATTGAGAATTTAAATCACACTACAAACCCAGCACACCATTTTTATGGCTGCTGCATTACCTCAAATGGAAAAAATCTTATGTATAATCACATATTTGGTATGTTTGGGAACATGCATAAAACATTAAATCAAATCTCGTATGAGTTTGAACAGTGCTCCCTCAAAAAGGTAACATAAAGAATACTGTTGCTCTACGCGGTGAGTTTGAACCCTCGCAGACGTGATGTGATTTTATGAGCTTCTTTTAGTCCATAATGCCGTTAGAGCCCTTTTTGTTCCCAGTTCATAACATTTTTTCTTATCTGGATCTTGCTTGCAGGGAATTTTTTTAACCTGTAAGGCTTATCTTTTCAGTGACACCAAGCATAATACAGTATTAAACTTTATCCTGGTAGTTGATGTGTTCGGCAAATTTATGCAAAGCTGTGACACTAAAATTTCACATCTTACACCCTTTGAGCTGTAGTCATTTAGCATCCCATTCAGCATTCACGGGCGTTCTTTGGTTTGCATGATTTGTATGTAAAATCGTGCCAACTTGAGGCCCTTCACTATTCAGCTGTGTAGCAGGAACTTGACATGTTTCCTGGAATTAGGCTGCATGTAGAGAATTTGAATCCCGGCTCTCGTTTTATCTCACCTGTTCACTTCATATGAGGAATCTCGGTAACAAAAGGTTGAGCAGCTTGCCGAACTCAGTTAATTAGGCCCACTCAGTTTCCCCACCAAGGTATTTTCCCCAAATACTGTGGCTCAGAGGAAGATAAAGTTGAGTAAATTAAACAGTTTTATGTGCACATACATGAAGCCGAGTTCATAGAAATCCCTGCCAGTATAAAATGATGCTATAAAAGCAAATGGTAATACCTGGGTGGGATGACATAGGTCCCGGTGCGTGGTTGGTCATTGGTGGACATTGAAGTCATTTATTTCATTCTTCACATCAATTGTACAGACGTGAAGTGGAACTTAAGAGCAAATTATAAAATTGCAAAAAAATGTCCCTGTCCAAAGAAGAGCTGGATTAACCTATGCTTAATCTTTTCCGTCCTCCTTCTCGTCCTTTTTGTTTCTTTTGACATAAAGCATCAAAGACCAGCTGGGCAGATTAACACATTGTGAGTGTCTTGTCGATGTCACCTTACAGGGTTTATGCAAGTCCTTAAACTTCAAAGTGACCTCTCATTTTCAATTTGCACAAACTTGCAGAGTACAGCTGTTCAGAGAACTGCCTTTTTGTCTGGTTCTCTTGTCTGGTGCAATTTTTAAATG